TGAAGTGTGTTGTCCTGCGGGCGGGCATGTATACAAACGTCGCTCCGGGTGAAAGCAAATGCACCTCCCTTCTTAAATTAAAATTTTATATACAAATCTCTTCTCTCAAAGTTTTCAATCAGCTACGTCCCATTGTCGTTTGTATCTCAAAAAATGACTAATTTTTGCTTTTCTTTCAACAACCACTAGATTTTGGCATCGTAATCTGTATGGTGTTCGTCGATTTTAATCTGTACAAATCTTTACTAACGAGAAAATTTTTGTCATTAACTATACATTTTGGTACGCCTCTGGCAATAAACATCGCAGCTTCACAAATATGGTCCTTAAGGATAAAGTTTGATTAATATTCCCCATTGCTAATTTTCAGTTTACCGATGGGACCCAACTGCCCCAATTCGCCTTATGGAAACTATCAATATCTTTAGTCCCAGAGAAAAAGAAGTTTCAAAAAAACCTTTTGTAGACAGGATCCCATTGACAACCAAACATACTGGTTTCTGTGACAGTAAGTTTTCCATTGAGAGTGTGACAGTAAATTTGCTACACAACACAACTATCAGGACCCACTGATCTATAGATCTTGCCGAAGGTTGCCGAAGTAAAAGGCAGCTAATAGGCGAGAGTTCTTTTCCTAAAGGGGGGGGAGGAGTAAAATTATGGAATAGCCCTCCCGCTGATTCTAAGACAGCATCATTCCCAAATAGTATTAAAATCTATTGAATGTGAAATCTTTTATTTCTAGTTTAGTTGTCAGTAATTTATAATTTTGAATAGGTTTTATATGACAATATTTTTACATATTAGCAGTGCTTTAATTTTATATTGTAATTGAGTTTTGGCGGAGGGCCCCTTAAAAACAGCTTCTGCTTAAGGGCAACCCTCGGTTGATAAGTTTCAATTAAAAGTTTTGCTCCTTGAACAGCTATGTACAAATCAAATTTTTGACAGTGTCCTAAATTATTGTTATAAACTTCTATTGTTAAACTATATTATGAAGAATGTTAAGGTTTAGGTGATAAACTGCTTGCATTCTGTGAATGGAAAAGAAAGCCTGTTACCATCCGTCGTTTTCGTCATTTTAGGCCTGCTCTGCAATGAAATTGGCGTGTCCGTAGCCACGTGACCAGCGTTAATTCAAGCTTATTGTCTCATCGCTGTTATGTTATATTAACCAATGGGCTTTACCCTGTTTGCACCTCCCTATTCCGTGTTTTTCTGTATACAATAAGCAACACGAATCCTTCTTGACCCAGCCCTTTTTGCGCACTATTAAGATCAGCCGCTGAAACCCATGCATAATTCCCTAAGAAACTGATGTCTTCCTATTACAGCGTTTAATCTGGCGTGTTGTTTAAGAATATGACAGGCTAGCTTTCACAGTTCATGGAAATCTTATTCGCCAGCTACTGTGTAAAGCCGCGATGTTAACGCGCCTTGTCTAAGGAAATTGAAGCGAATTTACGATTAGTTTTGGGATCAATGAATGTTTCACAGTCATAGAAACCACTGTCCATTTTACCATAATCTCTCAAAACAGCATCGTAATGCAAATGAGCTGTCGAATCTCTCGTACATTCATGTTCTTACTTTTTGCATAGCAGCCCACATATTCTAACGCTTTCTAGTATTGTTTCGCTGTTCGACAGTCCATGTCTGAATTTTATTTAAGCATGGAGATGTAAGTGTAATAGCGCATGCGCCGTATTGCTAACGAATTTCTCCGTCGAATACACGAAGAAATCTTAAGGTGTGAAGACCAATCTCCATCAAAGTGAGTCTCGATCGCAATTGAACCGGTTGAATTTGAGTCTCCGTTTGTTATCCGGATCGCTAGCAAACTGCGAGGCTCAATCAACAACAAACATGGCGGATGTCAGCATTTTGCGTTTCTCTCTGCTTTGAGGAAGAGGGAAGGGAATAAATGAAATGTTGATAAACTGAGAAAGCGTCAGTGACGGGTTCGCAGGTTATTTTGTGAATGTAAAGCGAAAGGCAAATTTCATCATTTTAGCAATTAGCCAATGAAGCACCCTTAGATGTCAAAAATTTTCACGTTTTTGAAATGGAATTTTGTTCGAGGGGGGCATCACACCTGAAAAGTTCAACCAAGTTGCGTGCGAAATGCGGTTAGCGAAATGCGGTAAAGAAATCAAGTGCACGTTCTCACTATTCGCTTGTCACTGGGATTCACTTTAATGGCTATTGGCCTTGAGTTGTTTTTTCTTCAATTTCCCTGCTAACTACTAGCACTTAATTGCAGTTTGTGCAAGTCCTTTTGTTTAACTCTAACAGAAACTTTCAAGTCTATTTTGTCTTCCACAAATCAATGAAAAATTACAAATCCGCAAGCAATTGTACAACAAGAAACAATAAAAAGCAAAATGTAACTAACTACAACAACATAAAAAAATATTCAAGTTCATTTTTTTTTCATTTTTCTGGCCAAAATGCAAGTCTAACCAGGAACCTTTCCTTTTGCTTTGAAGATAATGCTTACCAGATAATATATAATTTATTGATTTCATTGTTTTGAATTATGTTCTGATATATTCTACATAAATTTCTTAGTGTTTCATTTTTATGTTTTGTCTGTTATATTTTTATATCTTATAAGTAAAATACTTTTAAGAATTATAATTATGTGAAATTTTGCGTCACTTTCTAAATTTCATCAATTTGGCTAGCAATTTTCTACTTGGCCTTGCTTAAGTATTGTTATTAGAATTTTGCAACGTAACGCTGTGGTCTTATCTGGGGTTGAATGGAACTGCTCTGTGCAGCAATTCCCGTTTTTAAGACTGAATATTTTCAGCTATGTTTTTGTTTTTATTGTATTGTTTTGTAATGTATCGTTAGCAATACGATTCGTGTCGTAAAGCATTGTATTGTGTTATATTGTAATATATTGTTTTGCATTTTATTATCTATATCTCATAATTTATTGTATTGTATTATTTTGTATTGCATTTTATCATTTTTTATTTAAATTTATTTTGTATTTTAATGTACTTAATTACATCCTCCTACTTTTTCTTTTACACAATTTACAATTTTGCTTTGAAATTGCTTTTATTTGGCATTGTTTTTATTCCTTGCATCGCATTGAACTTTCTAAATATTGTATATCCCATTGCATTTTACTGTTTCTTATACAAGTTAGCTCAAGTTAATTAGTATTGTATCCTATCATGAGATATCTTAAAACAAAATGTTACGTTTATTATACTGCTTCGCATGCAATCCAAATATGCTTTGCAATATTATGTTGCTTGTTATTATAAATATTTGTGAGATCAGCCCACTAACCTAACTTCCATTCTTAAGCATATGATAAGTATATTTTCGTTTATTTGCTTCGGCCTTTGCTTACCGAATTTTTTGCTAAGCTGATTCCTTCTAAATCTACATTAGTGTAAACAACAATATTGTGTGGTAAAGCCTTTCAATAACAAGTTTATATAAGATCGAATCGTTGATACCATATAATAAGATTGTTAGGATTACATTCTATGTTTATCGAATTTCTTCAAGTAAATCGGATTTCTTAGTCTTTCGTGTTTCAATATTTTCCGACCAGTGATCTTCACAGGGTTCCTCATACCACAGTAAAGCTTTACTAGCCCATCAAGTATTTTTGTTCGCTTTTTTTTCGTTGAAACCCTAACGTTAAAACCTCGTTTTTCAACTAAAGTTCAATCAGGGTTAGGCGTTGAGAATGGTCAGTAAAAAGCCTCCACTTATTTTTTTTTCATTTCAAAGGAAGTTTTCTTTGCATAGAACGAGCTGAATTTGATTGGGGGGGGTTGGATGTCGGTATGACGCTTACTCGTGGCTTTGTTACTGTTGTCTCAAATGTAGTGTACGTCCCGTCCTGGTATCCAACTCCGTATTGCTACTCCTTAAACGTTTTATTTTATTTGGCTGAATGTCAAAAAACATTTATATTGAAGAATTTCTTCTACCACTGGAGGGATTGAAAACGGATGACACAAGTTGGTTAATGTAGTAGTGTGCTTACTTACTGTTTGTTACTGAGATGTCCCTTATCATAATGGACTTATATAGAACTCGTATTCATATAGCCTTTTACTTAATTTGAGATTGAGTTGAATTGTACGTCAGTTGTTGGAATGTTGTGTTACATTCGAGTCGAAGTATAAACATAGTCTTTTATGTTGCATCCTCCTGCGGTAAATATTACAGTTAATGTCAGATAAAATGTTATTATCCGAATTGTTACATCGAGGTACAAAGGCAGTGTTCAGAAGGTGCATGGAGGTTTGATTTTTTCTCGCCCCTTCTCTCTGCTTCAAGAATCTGCTTAAGTCGGCCATGATTACCAAGTGGTCGGCCATGATTACCAAGTGGTCGGCCATGATTACCAAGTTCCCACTTGGTAATCATGGCCGACTTAATTAAGACAGTGGTTTCCTTTGTCTTCTTGTACAAGGTTTTGGAGTCAGGAAAAAAGTTACTGGGAAAAATATTTCTCCGTTGTTTGCAGATGTCCGATATTAGAAGGTGTCCGTTGATGGTAGTTTCATCGTAGTTTCACCATGGTTTTACCGTTGTTTCGCCGTAGTTTACCGTAGTTTGCCGTAGTTTACCGTAGTTTCACCGTAGTTTCGCCGTGGTTTCACCGTAGTGTCGCCGTAGTTTCTTCGTAGTTTCGCCTTAGTTTAACCGTAGTGATTGATTGAGCAGTAATTTTTCTTCATTTACTCGGCAATATATCGTGGCAAGATGCTAAATTTTTGGGAGCAGAAGAGTAACTTTGCCTTGGTCTCTTCGTCGTGTAGAACTCTTGCTGGTTAACGATTGCATGACGTAACAGATACCAATAGCCTCTGCTGGGATTGATGAATATTTCTTCAGTAATAATTTCCCTTATTGAAGGTATTAGCATTTTAAGTATTCGGACCACCAAAGGGCGGCTAATAATGTAAACACTTGAGATTATCCTTAAACCAGCTTATGCCTTCCTGCCTCTTTTTCAGCAACAAAAATCGAGGATGGCAAGGGCTTTGAGACGAGTTAAGCTGCGGCAAGAAAGGTGAATGCTTTTAAAATATAACTTCGCAAAATTTTGCCTGTAGGAAAAACAGACATATGGCTGACATTAGGATAACGTTTATGACAGAACCTTAGACTACTGACTTAATAAGGCAAAATGCTGCACGTGTTACCTTTTTGTTAAAGAATGGAATTATGATCTTGATTGAGTTCTGATTCACAGCGACTGATGAAACCCCTTACTCCTTCATCAGATGCTTGAGTACAAGAATAACAATAGTAGGAGCTCACTGCTTTGTCCAATCGATCTCATTTTGCCCCTTGCTGAACTTGGAAGGGGGGGGGTTGAATATCAAATGCCAGGCGTCGAAAAGAGGAGTTGCTGGGGTAAAGCACAACAGCGTAAAATAAGATGAAATAAAATGGAATGCCTAAAAATTCGCGAAGAGTTCTTTCTCTATCAATCCAACAGTAAATTGGGCCTAATCGTCGAAAAGAATCATTTTCATCTAATCTTTAAAAGATGGATCGTCCTCTTAGCTCTCGGTTTCTTATAGGCTGTTTCTTTTAAAAAAATATTTCAAAATCTCATTTTATTCTCTTAGTCGCTTAAATTTACCTGAATTCCTTTTTTAAAATAAACTGTGGATGAGAAGTTCATTCATGGAAAGTAGGTTAACACGGGATCAAATTCTTGGTGTGCAATGGGAATCGACTGGATGCGAACACTTTGTTGCCTCTTATCTAAATAAGCAAAAAGGCAGATTACGAGAGATGAATAATAAATAAAGGACACAGTAAAGGGTACGGAAATAGTCCGCAGTGTGTATTCGGTATGGCCTAGGTCAGGCAAGCTGTAGGATGAATGTGAGTCAAATCAGGTCATCATCACGGTTACCTTGTTTGGACGCCAAGGCATTTGACCCAAATGATGTTTACAAATTTGGCCTAAGCAGTGATCAAACGCCTTTTATAAAAGCTTACTTCAAATTGTTGTTAGTCTTCAGGGGTAAACTGTGAGCGACTTAACTGAACGTTACGTCCTATGGAGTCTGCAATGTGTCTCAATGTATTTTCAAACCATGACCCGTAGATCACAGTTTTTGGGATGTCCATCTTTACACACTGATTGGCACTTCATGTTTATATAAAAGCAATATTAGTCTCAAAAATATGCTAAGCCGTTATTTTCTACTTTAGTCTGAAGCAGATCGCCAATCCTTTCTCAAAGGATTGTTATTGCAAGCTTTTGTGAGAATTGTCATTCTTTAAGATTAGCAAACCAGAAACATTTACGGCAGTTCAATTTACATTTGTTTGTTTGACCAACCATTGGTCTACCGATCTGTCCTTGTGATTGATTGGTTTATCAAACAAGCCATCCATCAAAGTTCTTTTTAGCAAAGCAACAGGACAGCCTTCTTTAAACTGGTCCCCAACTAGATTCTTTTTTGCAACATGTTTTGAATTGAACTTAAAATCAGTAAGTCAATATAAATAGTTTGTATACAGTGCTTTAATATAACAGTCTTTGGTTCCATAAAAATGCTAGTCAAACAAGGCTTTTCATGTTAAATAATTACAAATTGTTTAATTGCATATTTCTTTGCAGATGATTTGTTTTGATAGATGCTTTCTTGTACACTTATAATTTCCAAGTCACTGAACATTTTTACCTTTCGCTTTTGTAGTGGATGAGTATTCCCATATCTCACTTAAGCAACATGTATATATTTCTGCAGGCGGGTTATTCTTAGTTCAGGAGACACGATGATTTCTATACCATGGTCACAGAGCAACAGTGTAAGTAAATCTGTTTATGTTCTCCACCTCATCAAGGTTATAAGTACATACAAATTCATCAAACTGTGTCGAGATCTTGAAAATCTTACTGCCTCATTTGTCAAAATGTTCACAAATATTCTCTAATCTTTTTATGTGGAGCCAATGATATGCCTTTTTCGATCGTATGCCATTTCGTTTGGAGATGAAAAAGATTGGTTTTTAAATTTGAGAAAATATTTTCAATAAAAATCAGAAAGATCATAGCCTTCAAATTACTAAGTTTCTTTCCTCAACTTTCACCAATTAATTTTTTCCAATGAAGAATGAATTCATGGCAAAATTATTTTCTGTTTTCCTATGGCTGAAAATTTGTCTTGGTTAATTTTCCAAACAGAGGGAAGTTCAAGAGATTTGATGAATGAGATCAGTCGCAGTCATTTTCGATACCACACGTGGATTTAAAGGAAAGATTTGATAAAAGCAGATCAATATTGCTACATACAACTATATAAAGATTTATTTTCGACGCACACCATGATTGTGCTAAAATTGACTAACGCAGGAAATGATGGACTGAAGATTTCATTTAAACGTAGGCGGTTAAAATTAAGGCATACTGTCCCAAGCTTGCAATCTCTGTGGACAGTATCATGAAAAGCGTTTTTCGCTGCACAGTAAAGACACCGATTTGAGAAAATACATTCAATATGTTGATAAGAAGTAGCCCGGAGTGTATAGCTTTCTTTGTTAGTTTCTGATAAACCTCGGTTTATGTTGGAGGCCGCTTTATTCGCTCAAGAGGATCATTTATTTTTAACTACAATAGCTTGATAAATGCATCGGATAATCAAAGTTAGAACTCTTGTCAGCTGATAATCATCAATCTGTTTTAGAAATTGAAATCGAAACCTGCAAAAGTTTGTCCTATAATTAGTTTATCGTTTGTAAATTATTCCTGTAAATTATATCATGTGGAGATATGAAATGCGCCTCTGGACAGTTTAGCTCAGCATCTGTGTTGCAAGTTGTGGTTGAAAGTTTCTATGCATAACGGGAAATTTCAAACTAATTGTCTTAATGATGTGATTAGCGCCAAACTTAAAAGCCAGAAAATTGATAGCTGCAACGACTTTGGTATTATGAGTATAGCTTTGCTATGGTGGAAGCTGTAGATCATGCGAAAAAGAACTCACGACAACAGATTTCTTGTCGCATGCTACATGCGACAAAATTAATGTATTGAAGATAAGCAATTTAAATCTGAATCACTAAATAACTGCAATAATAGGAAAAATGAGACGTGAATGCTTCATAATATTTATAGCATCTTGCGTTTTAATGTAGCATCCTTTTGAGGCAAGGGTCTTATAACGTAAAGCATTATGCAAGAAGATTGTTGCATGAAACCTAGTGAAAGATCTTTTTCTTTGAAAGGGAGCTGTTATAGTTTGAACCTTCAAACAAGTTGATATTTTCTTTGTTTGGAAACCTGACGTGCAGTGCAGTAGTGACTGGCAAACAAAAATGCTTTTAGTCAGTTGGTTTCTGGATTGTTAGATAAAGCTGACCTATATATTTGCAGGACCTGTGCTATGATATTTTGTATGAATAGCAAAAGCAATTTCGACTCGATAGCTCGAAAAGAAAACTATATCCAGTGGTCCGTTCCATCGTTTTAATTTATGATGAAAGATTAAGATGAATTTTTATCTTTTCAGCGTCTCATCAGTTACCAAAGCATCAAATCCCTGCTAGAGCTTTACCGTTCAGCAGACTGGCAGCTCGCAGCAACCTTTACAAAAGTAAGCTAGCAAATTACACTCTTTTTATAAGAACATTTTTATAAAAATACGAGCCTCGAAATTGGTCGAAAGTTAAGAACAAATCGAGCTGAGCTACAGTAGAATGTAATTTTGAACAAGGTTGTGAGAGCCCATTGAAAATTTTATTTCAAGAACGAGTTTTTTGCTATTTAGGGGTGCTTTTAGGTGAATTTTCAAACGTTTCACCAAATAAGGGCTGTCTCATTCACTTTGTTGGTAACTGAGGCCGAAACAACACACCGTGCCCTACCCCCCTCTACCCCCCTCTACCCTCCTCTACCCTCCTCTACCCCCAAAACACACCAGCTAACAACTGTGATGCCTACACCATAATAATTCAAGAACAGATTAAGAACAACCAAGCCTCAAATTTTGGAGAAAATAAAGAACAGCCAGCCTGAACTTCAATTTACTGGTTCTTATAAAGAAAAGAGTGCAAATAGCTAATTTGGAGTCTCTTAGTCTTTTATCGAGCATTGCTGAGCATTTATCTAAGCATTTATTTTTATTAAAAACTTCAGTGTTTTTCTGTTTAAAAATCCTTGATGTCCTACGAATTGTAAGGATGACAGGAGAAAGAGAAACAACTTTTTGTCTAGTATAAGCTATTTTCGCCCTAAATATAGCATGAGACGTCAGTAGTGTACCAGGAGGTGACAAAACTGATACCCAGATACGGATTCAAGAAGTAGAAAAATGGAGAGGCCCAATTTGCTTTTTTTACCAATTATTGTCTTTTACCATCTCACGTGACTTCAGGACACAAGTAAAAAAGGCAATTCGCTTTGATTCGAATGAAATGTTTAGATTATCTCTTAAGACAACATTCCTTTAAAAAACATGTCTAGCTTTTCTTGTACTTCCTCTTGTTTTCCTGTGACGAAAGCAGACAGTAGTCTCGGTACCAGGATTTTATCACTTTGAAAACGAGACTATTTCCAAAAGTCCCTAAATGAATCATGGGAAAAATCGATGCTTTGTTTTTATCCCCACAATATATCAGAACATTACGAAAGCCTGCGCGCCTATGCATCGATACCAGCTCAAGTAGGAATTGTTGGGAAGACGAGCCAGCATTTGCTCGAAGGTTCCTTGTAATTCAAAATTTTGCATCATATTCACACTCGCAGTTAAAATCGATGATGTTATTTTCATGTCACATAATGTATTCTGTAATAAAAACATTTGTGGGTCTTATTGTAATAAGCCAATCTCGAATAAAATACGAAAAAAATTAGAGAAAAAAGTGTCTTTAATAGAGTGAGAATGATGATGGAACTATGATATATGATGTGAGGTAAATTTTGTCCACAAGTTTTCGCCCTAATGCGCATGTGCACATGATGACGTCCTTGTGTGTGCTTAGTGTTATCTATGACCGTGACAACAAACCAAAACTCAGATTTTGGGGTAGTTGGAGAGTCATGGTAGCCAACCTTCTAATAGAAGATGGTACGTGATGATGATGATGTGCCTAGTGTTTCTTTTGAGGATAATTGGGAAGTGTTAAGTTTTTGCTTTGGTAACTTCTGCATGAAGTCCTGGTTTTCTACCACAATATTGCCATGTAAGATAATTCAGGGCTGATGAGCTTGGCAAGCAGGTGTTTCTGGATTCTAGACTAACTTCATTTCAGAGAACTGTGAACACAAGCAAATCAAAGTCAAATGTATACACAATTCAGCATTCTATGCGAATGAACGCCATGGAGATTTGCAGAAAATAAATAAACTCTTGTTTTCTTTAGTTTAGATTTTTCAGAGATCCTCTTCATCTATTAGGTCTCAAACTGACTTTAGTGGGAGGTCCACAAAGGAGCTGTACGTGGAATTTGCTTGAGGACCGTTAGGTGCTGCGTAAAGGCCTAACAAAGCAATGATATCCTTGGTTTTGGTATCACAAGAAAACACCCCTGGGTTGAAAGAAAAACAGACACTGTCAGAGTACAAAGCTCCTTCTAAGTAAACCTTATGTATCGGAAATCATGTTGCCTTGAGGTACTGGTAAATTGAATTTCAAGGATAGTGCTTTTGAAATTGTTTCTCAGGGATCCGTCGATTTTTATTGACTTGTTTACTTCAAAGGTATTTTCCATCAACAGGATGGCTGTAGACACCGACAACGAATTTTTCAAAAAACAAACAAAATCATCGCAAAGGGAATTTTTCTTCCATTCTTTCATCGCATCTTTCTGGGAAACTCTTGTAGTGGGTGCAACTGATTCATTCTAGAGAGTCAGTTAATTTTCTTTCTCTTTTGTAAAACTTACCTTTGCAAGCTTGGATCAATTCAAAGAAGCTACAGAGAGGTTAATTAAACGTTTTATGCTATTGCAGCAACTTTGAACATCGAGCTGCCCATGACCTCTGACGGAGGAGTGATCCATCTTTGTTCTGACTTTTCTACCAAGATATTTTATTTGGAATATACCTTTAGTCAGGGCCGGATTAAGGCGGGTGCTATTGCTGCTGCAGAATTAGGTCAATTCCTGAAATATGCCCAGATGAAAACAGACAAAAGTTTTCCTAAATCTGATCAGGCCCAATGATAGGTTCTTTCTGAGCTGAAGCATTAGGCCCAAATAGGGCTTAATTCAGCACTGCAGGGCCTCCGACAAAGGGACGGGGGAAGCCATGGACCCCCCCCCCCACTTTTTTGCAAAGCATTAGAGCTATTTGTAAAATCTTGTGTTAAGATTGTTAAAATATCCATTGCTCCATTGCCCCCCCCCCCTCACTTCTAGTTATGCCATAACGTCTTACTTTTTTTCTCTATTAGAGATTTAGTTTCACGCGAATTAAAAACTCCACACAAGGGCATTACTGTAAATAGATCCTCTCTGAACATATTGATAAAGCACTTGCCTACAAGCGGAAAATATATTCCTATTTAGGGCGACATAAGAACCAGAACTCAATTCAATTTTTTCTGTGAGACGCGCAAATTGGTTAAAAAATGAGCAATACGGAAACTTAGGGGTGTGTAGCACAACAGGCAGACTAAAATCACAAATGATCCTTGGACAACTTGCAAAATTGTAGGTGTTCGTGCTAAATTACTTGCAAAGTTTCAAGAAACTTGCTACACTGAGAGCCCAGATTTCATAGCCATAAAGGTTCTTTAATCGAGGTTTTTATAAAAGAAAGATAGCCTGTAGTTTCTTAAATTCGTAGGTTCTTTTATTGCAGGGATTCACTGTAACCATACAAAAACTGGGTAAAGTTTGATCCTATATTTATATACACTTATTTTTATAAGAAACAGGTTATAAGAAACGGTAGGCTTAATTTTTCAAAAGTTAAGAAACAACCCTACCTAAATTGAAAAAGCTAAGAAACTTTTATAATTTTAAGTTTTAACTTTTCACGTTGACACTCGAAACATTCTTGACATTGAACATTGCTGTATATTGCAACATTACACTTGCAATATATGCAATTTGCATTCATTCTCAGTAAATTGCACACTCAAAAAGGTTCCATTTAAAAATTTGCTTTCACTTCAACTTGACATTGATGAAGTTCAATGAGTTTAACTGTTTACAGATCTCAACAGAGTTAGTCATTCTAGAAAAACAAAATTCCTTGATCGCTTTGTTTGTTTATCTAAGAAATTCATTACCTAAGAAATTTAAGAAACATGTCAGAAACTTTTGATAGTAAAATGGCCAGAAAATTTAAGAAACTGCCTACCAGCACCGGACCTTAGTTTCTTATAAAAATGTACGTGTATTTGGCGCCAGAGAAATGGCAGGATTGTTTTTATCAGTTAAGTACCAGTTTCAGCTATGTTCACTTGCCATGCATTGAAAACCACGATTTTGATGGATACCGGCATGTTGTGAGAGGTCAGCTCTGTAATGAAAATGATCAATTTGAAACTGGAATGGAAGCTATGAAATTAAAACTAGGGTTTCCCTTCCCTCTGTTAATTTTATGATAGGTCTGTGCAACGATTGCTAGTCGAAGAAAGAAAATACAAAGAAATCTTGTCTTATATCTTTTACCGGGTAATACCCAATTCTGGATTAGAGAATTTTCGTTTTCTACCAAGGTGGATCGCTAATCTTTTCACTTAGACCCAATTTCACTGCGCCGGACAAATTTTATCCTGATAAATTTTGACTTGTGCGTTGCCTATTTACATCAGGTGGAACAAATTTTATCCACTGTTGGCTTGCGTTTACACCGGACCAATCTTTAACAATAAGGGCATGCCACATCAGGAACAACATCGGTTCAGGATTAGAAAGATTCACTCAACATTCACTCAACAAGAAACATTCACTTATCTTTCCACTAACATGTACCTTGTTTTTTTGGAGAATTTCAAATGTTGTGGGAGGAGCAATAAAGACTTAAATTAAATCCTACTTCTTAACATGCCCGTGTTTACATTTGTGTTCACAATAGTCGTTAGAATTAGCAGATAGGGACCATCCTCTCACCGCTCCAACTTGTTTATCAAATCCGTAAGCATGGCAACTCTATGCGAATTCTCAATGTTTTTAAATGAAACAGTCGATGTCATTAGCAACTTTTATTTCGCATGGTTATCCTACAGTATATTTTTGTTAACAATAGTTGTTTGTTAACTTTAAGTGGGTGTGTTCTTTCCTTGTCGTATCCAGAATGTATTCAAATAAAACTGTCTTTGTTTCCATTTGCTTCCCCATTCGATATAGTGGTTTGTTGCTTCCCCTCTGTATTTCTCAGCGAAGCTCAAATGGTTAGTTTTTATGTTGTGTTCTTTTAAGTAGATTAGGCGTATTAGTAAAAAATGACACTGTTTTGGAGTATCACTATGTACTTAACAATGCAAGATCTCAGAAGGCACCACCCACTCGAACTTCAAATCATTCAATGTAATGTGATGCTGGATTTGTTTTCTAAATAACATAGATAATAAAGTTTCTTAACGCAGTATTTTATGGTGCCCCTAAATAAGTGTTCCCTTAAAGAAAATTAACTGGCTTTAAAAATTACACTTCAAAACTTCGCATCATTTTCGTTGCCTGTCAGTGATGATTGCCTTTTAAGAATCAGCATTTGAAGTTGTTTATTTTATTCATTTAACGTTATTTACTTCAAGAGGATTTGTTTCTAGATGTCCAGATAATTAGTCTGCTCGCACTAAGATAACGTGGAGAAATTCTTTTTTCAATCCAGGTCTATCTACCGAACTGGCATCTCTCCTCTTGAACAGGCGAAAGGCATTGCAGGCTGTGATGCTCTACTCGTATCTTAACTATTCTGATGACTAGAAGTTGCTGCTAGAAATAGTTTGAAGACTCTTTATGGCGATTTCCAAGCCACAACTTTCCCCTCCCATTTTGAAAATAACCTTGTTCCTTCCTTTTCAAAGGTTCAATATGTTTTCATTCTTCTTCTATGTTTTCATTTTTCTTCTATGTTTTCATTTTTCTTCTATGTTTCATTTTTCTTCTATGTTTTCATTTTTCTTCTATGTTTTCATTTTTCTTCTATGTTTTCATTTTTCTTCTATGTTTTCATTTTACCTCTATGTTTTCATTTTTCTTCTATGTTTTCATTTTTCTTCTATGTTTTCATTTTTCTTCTATGTTTTCATTTTTCTTCTATGTTTTCATTTTTCTTCTATGTTTTCATTCTTCTTCTTCTACCGATCAACATTTATAACTGACAATAAAAAGCCCTTTTCATTTCTGGAGTATTAGATGTAGAATAAAAAGTATTTTATCTAGTTTGAGATGCTCGAAGATCTAAAGGATTACGTCATCAGTAGATATTTGAATTAGAAATGAAAAGCGCTAATCTGTTGCTTGTTAAGGCTGATTTCCACGAGGCGAAATTCGCAGCGAAATTCGCTTCAAAATTGTCGTTGATTTCCACGAGACTGCGAATTCGCTGCGAAATTATATAATAATTTCCTCCAAAACTCAACTTTAAGGCGCCTATTTTAAGAACTGCACGCATGACGAATGTTCCAAGATCGTTTTCTTACAAATCAAGCAAATTTACCATGCTTTGACTGGTTATTAGGTGCTGCGAAATATTTCGCCGAGAAAAAGTAGAACTCTTTTCTACTTCCTTGCGAATTCGCTGCGAAATCAAAAATCAAAACTGCGCATGCCTTGATGCCTTCATCAGCGATTTCGCTGCGAATTCGCTGCGAAATTCGCCTCGTGGAAATCAGCCTTTAATATCTATGCGAAATCGCGAGTACCCTTTCTGTAGCCTCTGAGGCAGAGCGTTGCTCACAATGACCTTAGTTCAGCTATTATGCACTCAGTTATCTTTCTTTATGCGTCGAGTTGACTAGTAAGATAAAGACACGAAATAAAGGATCAAGCTATTACTTATCTTCGCGCTATATTTATCGACGCTATCATTTGATCTGTATAACTACACATACCGTTCGCTTCTTTTCATCTTTCAAAGATCAAACTCGGGAATGCTTTCAACAACAAAGTTTGCTTCTCCTTTTGCGAATTTTTCATTTTTCATGCATTGGGATGCAGAGATATCTATATTTCTTTATCTCCATTCGATGTCCTTATAATATTCGACCTTACTTGTAGTTTTGATACAAAACTATTCGCCCATAAAACTTTGGTGTCACTAAGTCTTTGCAAAATGTTGATGTATTGTGACGCACTTTTTCTTATTTGAACTGGTTGTCAGCTGCTGTCTTTTTTTGTGTGTTATAATGAAGAGATAGATGATTAATATATAGATGGTTTGTCATATCAACCATTCTTGGAAGTATGTGGAATAATAATCGCGCTTTTGCCGTTTTATTTGATCATATTCTTTTTTACAAACGTTTTTATTAAAAACTGGTTGCCATTTCAAAACTTTTCTGTTGAAAACATTTGTTTATGTTTTAGTTGAAGCTTTTCCAGTGTGTGATGGAACAGTGTTTGGTCGTGAAAGGTGAAATTGAGGTTGCTGTTCCAGCTTCGCATGCATATAGCTATCTTCGTGATGAAAAAAAGCGACGTGAATGGGACGGGATGTTGATGTGAGTAGAATATTGATAGAAAAGGCTCTTCCTAGGTAATTAATACAGATGGTTGAAACCATTTGAATGTTGCTGTGTGTTAAAGAGCAAAAGGTCAATGTTGTAGGAACAAAAGTCATCAATAAATCCTGAAGATCTTTAGGACTAAATCATCTAGGTAAAATAGCCTGCAGTAGATTCAGTGTCGATTGTCAGTATTTCAGAAGCGTCAACAAAACTTGAACAATGTATGAAATTCCAATGCAATCAAATTATCAAGAGAAATTTCATGTGCAAAAGCTATTTTCAATTATTCTGCTACCCTTCAAGATCTATAACCTGTGATAAGTGACCTCTGATCTGTGACCTTTAACCTGTTTCCAGAGGACCTGGTGATGTGACCCGTTTTTTACTCTTTATGATGTAAGCAGATGTGAGCCGCTTTTTATTTTTTCCCCTAGTATACAGCAGCTGTAATGCCTGTTTAAAGTATTTGAATAGACGCCCTAAACTGAGAAACCTGTCACATATCAAATCCTTAATTTTTCGTTTTTGATGCCACCTTTAACCATTACTCTTTAGTGATGTCGAGGTCATTGAAGAGATGGATGACGGGAGTGACGCACTTTTGCACTACGTCATGCACAATCGCAACCCACAGCAAAGAATGAAAAGTGACGATTTCGTTATGCTGGTTTCAAGAAGACCAGCACGCGAGAAGAGGTACGATTTAAATATCTCATTTGGTCCAATAACGCAAAAATCGAGTTTCATGTACATGTTTCAAAGCAGTCGTTTATGTTGTGAGAATGTCTCAGTCACTGAGTTGCAGAGCATCTAAAAACATAATGTTGCTTTCTGATATTTCCTTTTGAAGGGAAATATGACTTCAATCAACTTTTTCTGTTTTCTCATCAGTTATTTGGTTATTTGGATTAGAATGAATAACCTAAGTGCATCAGCTTTTTACTAATAGACTGGTGAATATAAAGACTCCAGTGAGATTAGTAACTTGCCTGCAGTACTTTTATATCAAAACACTGATTAGCACTTCAACAAATTTGAGCTTTGTACCGTTACATTTGCTTTAAAGTTGTTTCCCTGATTTGACATGAACTTAATATGCTGCTAAGACTTGTTTTTCTGAATTAATTCGAAAATTTTTGAAAAATGTGTAGGCTGCCTTTCATATTAACATTTTTTTCAAACTGTTACATCCATATTCCTTTTAATCTCTTTTTATCATGCTTGGATATCAAAGATTATGAGAGCAGAAACAAGTAAATTATCTCTGATAAAGACAACAGATACAAGAGTTTTATGCCTAGTTTGCATAAATATAATTATTTTCACTTCGATTATCACTTTTTCACCTCTGTTTTACAGCAACTGCGGAGCTTTTTGTCCTGTAGTTTATTTTTTCTGTTCGTGATCAAGCGTTTATTTTTTCATCAGTGAACCATTTACGATTGCTTATCGATCTGTTACTCTTGACTCGTTGCCACCCAAACCAGAATATAATCGAGCTGAAGTATGTATTTTCTTTTATGCTGATCTCTATCTTCTTCGAAACATGTTTGTCAATAAAACCAATAACTTTGCAATTTAAGCTCTATTTAAATTTCTCTATTTTTTACTTTCCCTTTTTTTCATGCCTTCACTCTTTTATTTTAAAGCAGTTTTTTCGCAATATGCATCTTCACCTTCCAAGGAATAGTATCAAGCATGGTTGATTTTTTTTAAAATTGATATTTTTGTAGAAATCAAGCTTGTTAAAACCTTATAGCAACCTTTGACCAATGGTTAGAAGATTGGCCAATGCCATTGAAGAAAAAGATTTGGGATGCTTTTAGAAAAGCCTTAGGCATACAGTATCGATTGCAGAGAAAAAAAGCTTTCTTGTTGTGATATGCTTTTCTGCTTGATTTTTTGTTGATCATTTGTAGAAGATAGACGTTTCATTTATAATTATCCATCAATATTTACTTTATTTTTACTTTATCCATTAATATTTACTCGGTATTCTAACAGTTTTACAAAAGACACGTGCCGATAATTCTTGTAACAGTGTCATCAAGGTGTCATCAAGTGGATATTGTGTCATCAAGGACTGTTCACCTGAAATATTCGTTGATCTTTTTGTTACAAGCTTCTTCTTCCGGACGACTTCTTTTGATCTAGACAGTGTTTTCCAATTTTCCTTCATCTTTCTTTGCTATCGATGAACTATAAATACATAACCAGAGTTTCAATTTCAGAACCTTTGCTCTGGTTTTTTGGTTAAACCCAACGAAGCAGATGATAAATCATGCAAGGTGATTTGCGATTAATTATACCTTAATATACTACCATGTTTTTCTTATGTTTTGATTTTAAGCTTGCCAATTACCACTGGAGAAGAGTGGCCTAGTATATTCTGAATTAAAAAGTCTTTAACACACTTCAGATGGCAACAAAGTTAAGAAAATCAACTTAAAAAGTTACATTTCAGCTTTAACCTTGGACGAAAAGTGTAAAAACGCGACTCTGTGTTATTAATCCTATAATGCCTGTTGTAGGTTTATCTGATGATGACAAAACCAGATTCCTAGTAATTATTTAAACAATCTTTTGGTGGTACAAAACTTGAAAATGGCTTTGAAAAAAGCAAACATTTAGTAAACTAAAGCTTTTCGTCTGACATTCTTCAGAGTTTAAAACGTCAGAACATAGACCGAAAACTCTACGCTAGGAAATATATATACCCAGTTGTGGATCGAAATAGGCCAATCAGAAACACGAGCACATGACTGTTGAGGTTGACCAATCAGTGCCGCTTGCTTATTGAGAATGTTACCAATGGAGTCCTAAGGTGAAAACGAACGCCTTTTGTCTACACAGTAGCGGTTTTTTCGTGCTTATGTAGATAGATTCCAAAACTGCTAGGTGGAACGACGATCGGGCTTTACCATTAATCAGTAATTAGTAATAATTTGTTTTGATATATGAATCATTATAATAAACTACGTTTTCAGGGCAAGTTGTCGAAATACAGAGATACTAATTAATCTAAATACAGAGAAACTACCGATAAAAGGATACCTTTTCAGAGCTTTATAGCCATTAATATACTCAAAAAGCTATCATCTATGTCATCAAGTGTCATCATCTATGTCACGTATGTTTAAAAAAATATCTATAAATAGTTTTTCGACTCCAATTTATGAGTTTTTCTTAAGAATTTATCGGAAATAACTGCATCGAATGAAACGGAAAAATTTTATCAGGGCAATTGAGAATCTTTCTATTCTATCTTGTGAAAAACAAGATTTCGAAAACATTTAAGTAAATTTGTATGCAGAAATGCCTTCCCGTGTGGCCTATTTTTTCCGTCCGCTTCAAAAACAGTTTTTTCATTATGCGTGCTTGCTGCTAAGGAACTTCCTGTTCATTGATTAACTGGAAGAAATTAGCAAATAACACACAATGTATTTATGATAACAATGTTCTTTTCTTTTCTATTGTTTGTTGTTGATTGACGTATTTCCGGCTTTCAATCTAAAACATTAAACATCTAACAATACCAACTATGCACAATACGTTAGTCATTTCAAATTCATAAATGTTTTCTCTTGTATCCATAGCTCTTTTTGAGCTATAAAACCAACAGTCAAGCATGAGAAAATTCAATGTTTTTATTTAAGCTGACCTAGTTGACTATGGGAAAATAAATTTTATTAACATTTTTAAAGAGAATGTAAAGAAAATTATTTTCTTTACGTTAACAACTAAGTAAGATTTTCATTTACTCACTTTTGTTTTCATAACCTTTTCCTAACAGCAATAGAAATCTAAAATTAACTAACAGCTTCATATAAACTGTTTTTTTTATCTATTGTGTTTTCTTGGTTATGTTGTTTCTTTTAAAACAAGATCACTAGGAATCCATTAACTTAATAAAATGAATTTGCTTCATTCTCAATTTTTTTATCTTTTGTATTGAAAATATTTCCTGTTTGATTTATTCATTTTTAAAAAGTTACATTGCTAAGCCTAGCTCTTGTTTTTTAAACATACGAAGTGAAAGGACTTGAGAAAATTCCCAGCTCGAAATTAACATTTTTGAGAGCTACTTTGGTGTTTTCTTCTTGAGCAAAGCTTAAATATAAGATGAATTTCGAGTTAATTTTAGTGTATGAAAACATGAATTTGGTTGCTAAAAGCACCTTTGGGCGTCAGACATTAAAAGTCTTATTTTTCAACGAATATAAGGCAGTTACGTTTACAATAAAGACAACGATTATGTTGGAGATGTCAAATGGATAGATTGCATTTCAAGCTATTCATTAAAAATCTGAATGCCGTTCTGCAACCATTTTCGAGAATCATGATGATATAATAAGAGATTTGCCTGTTTACATTGAGCAAAAGCAACGGGATCGAGATGGAGATCGCAATCTGGATATATTTGTGTATACTTTAGTTTTGCGTTTATAAGGCCAAAACTGAAAGAGGGTTGTGATCTATTCTGGCATACGTTTCATGTCTTTATTCACAATTTCTTCATTCGGTCTCATTTTCTGAGCCTTAATAAATGAAGGTGCCTTTAACATCTTTGAAACAAGATTTTAAACAGTCGTTTCCTTTCTCCGTTGTTGAATTTACTCCGAATTCTTTCCCCCTTCCAAACGACGAAAAGGCCTTTCGAATCTTTAGACGATCATAATGCTGGATTGGAAGACATTCCAAGAAATGGAAGTTTGTGAGAAGAAATCCGGACCGTTTACAGGGAAAATTTTTACAGGATCGGGGTGAAAATTACGATCCCTATCTGCCTTTGGAAAGGATCAAATGGTGGGAAATGGATCACGATCCTGTGATTGCGACAGATCTTCAGGATCGCGATACCTATCCTTATCCCGATCTTTATCCCGACCGTTATTCCGATCTGTATTCGGACCTTTATCGCGATCTTTGTCCCAATCCCGATCCCATTATAGTCGCTCCTTGTAAATAGGGTAACAATGATTACTTACATTAAGAGCTTGTTGTTTCTATTTTTGTCAACTACGAACGTTTACTTTGTAGCAAAGGCTTGATTGTTCTGGTTTGCTGAGATTAATCACCCCTTTCGTTGCCCTACAATCTCTCTTTGACAGAAGTTCCACGAATGAATGAAACAAATTTTCCATAATTTGTTTTAAGACTTGGCAATTGATATTTCTTGTTGTGTAAACATAAAACAATGGTGTTTACAAAAGTTTATATCGTATTAGAGTTGTTTTCTTTCTTTTTTATTTAATGCAACAAAATCATCCATTGATAAGAAAAACAAACCCTCCTCAGAAAAATCGTTAACTTTTGAAAGCCGTTATGTTTTATGACTAAATTAAAATGTGTATGATATAGGGATTAGATGCATGGAAGGCAGAAGATTAATTCTTGTTTATTATGTAAAGTATGTGAGAAACTATAACATTTAAAGAGGGCCTGCTTATGTTAAAGAAGAGACGAAGGTT